TTGTTTCGCTCACACCAGACTTCTTGTTGTCAGTGCCTCGGATGAGTTGGAAAAGCTTCTGGTAATTACCAGACACAGCTGCTGCTTCCAGCTCATTAGCACGCTCCGACCACCAGGCTTCTCGGTCCTTACGCAAGCTTTGCTCAATTTCATTACGTAACAGCCTTCGTTTGTGGTCAAACTCACGGTCACACGGGATAGACCGACGGCCTTCGATGAGTTGTAAGGAACCAGAAGAAACCCAGTGCTTATAAGCGGGACGTTTCGCGAATCCACAACTGACTGTGCCCGCCGTTTTCATGGCGTTATGCAATTGCAACCAATAGTCATCTATACTTTTCGGTGGAATGGTAGCTAGCCTAGAAACTAGCTCGGCTCGATACTTACTTGCAACAGAAGTTGCAACCAGCTTGCTAACATCAATCTTTTGGTGGCGGTCACTTCGTTGTCCACTGAAAAGTAAGGCAAGATTGGCGCAGACCAAGGCATGGTCAGAGTCCAGATAGATACTCCAAAAGGAGCGGCAGTTTTGTACACAACCACAGCCCCCAAATGCCCTGGTATGGCCGAAAGCGGGATGGGTTTGCCCTCCCTCTCGAAATACACTCACACGGCCACGCGTATACAGCCTCTGACAGGGAAGTTCTACTCAAGGCCTCGTGGTGGGGGTGTTGTTAACGAAAATGAGAGGACGAAATGCGATTGTCCGGATCCCAAACCAAATCAATGGTGCACATGGGCTCCAGTATCCAGTGGGAACAACTGGTGTATGAACCAATTTTCGGTCACCAGCTACCATGGGACTGCATCTCCTTGCGATGCTCCACTGCCTTGTGGATTAGACCTTTAGGTCAAAGGCTCGGGGTGTGGCCCCCTAAGAAAACCACCTGCTTCGGTCTGGGCATCCGGGCAATATCACAGCCCACACACAAATGATGAACTGAACTGTCTATAATTATGGATTATAATTGAAATGAATATCAATTTGAGTTTTAGAAATGTAGTGCACCATTCTCACGCATAATGTAATATCTCCCCTCATATTCTCCATCTTTTTTGAAGACAATATTCCGATACATAGTTTTGATACAATCCAGATACTCCACTCACTGTTTAGAATAATTTGTGAATTAATCCGTTTTCCACTAAACTAAGACGATAATTTTCAATTTACTATTTTTGTTGTTATAATTCAAATACATTTTCCAACTACGCTTTATAATTCGCAGTGATTAACGTATTGCGCTTTTCTTTCATTAAATGTAATTCATAGATGTTAGTGTGGTTTATGACTTCATCTCGTTTATAACATCGATTCGTGATGGAAAGGGGTATATACTTGAAAAAGAACACCGAAGTAACGTAACCACTAAAGTATACTATCTACTGAAAAAAATCTGAGTAGTCGTCTTATTTCTGAGTTCTTTGTTTTGTTTATCTTTCTTATCGTAACAGATGAATCCCATCAAACAATGTAATAACTCTCTGTCAGTTGAAGTTAAGCATCACTGCCAGAGAATAAGTTAAGATGAGAAGCAAAAGGGTGGAGTTAATTCCAACTTCAGTTGAAATTAAAATACGATCAGTAAAAAAAATGCTTTCAGAGAAAAAGCCAGAAATGACACAACCAAGTATTTAGAGGGCGACAGTGTGAGTGCATCTACTATATGATTGCACCTAACATCAACCATTGGTTACAACTATGGGGTGGGATGCGACCAAGAAGTTTACATCTCCTAACATAAATCCGACCAGCAGTTGATGATCTCATAAGTGAGTACCGTATCTCCACTTTCTCATTTCAGGCTTTCTCCCAACCTACTCCTATATAAACGACTGTAGAATTAGCCTCTCTCAACTTACGCTGAGATGTCCACCTCCCAACCAAAGTGTATAAATACTGTGCAGTAGTCCGCTAAATATCGCTTTTGGCCGTAAAACGTAGTTTTTAAGGGTAGAAGACATGAGTCTGTAGCAAGTTTCGGACTTTTTATCCTTAAAGTCCTGCCAGCGTTTCGTTGGAGGTCCGAATAACTTCCAGGTTAAGCAAATGATACTAGGAAGGATGGCGAAACAGTTGATATAGGTGTGAATCCTTATTGATTGAGGTGGTTCGGACATATGCTTAGTCGCCGTTCAACCCAATTTTTTTTATATTCTGTGCAAACATGTGCTATAACTGTGACGGCAGAGGGTAGCGAATTATTGATCGAACCAAAGACCCGCAAACACGTAGAACGGCCTAGGGTTCTGATTGGTCCCGCCTCCCTGTCTAGCCCAGCCAGTCAAGTTCAGAACACAAGTCTCAGCCTCGGAGATATGAATCGCTATATTTCAAACACACTCTGTTTATATACTAATCAAGCAGACCACATCGTACCATAAAATATTGACCGGTAGGAAAATGACACGTTAAATGAATATTGACCAATGGGATGATACCATTTCATGTCCAAGGATAGCATTAGGCTTAATAGAATAATTTTTGGGATATTTTTCTGAATATCCCAACAACATGTTATCATACGTTGTCCACCAATTCAAACTAATACATGAATTTAACCTTAACTGGGACGTATTTCTTTGTGGTGACAATACGGATTCGCCTAAAACTGAGTGGAACACACATCATCTTTATGTAAAGTGAATTCTGGTTATGAGACGGTGGATATTTGTAGCTCAGGAGGATGATTTTATGCAAATCGTGTTCACTGTGGCGTGTTTTAGTTGTACAGCTTTCCTGGTTTTTCCAGACATTATCGTCATAATTACTGGAAAAAGTAATTTCTAGCACTAAGATTGGAAGAAAATACGGATCACAAACGAATTGACTGTGTCCTTGTTTGTTTTTCATCTGGAGCTCAAGCTACCTTTATTTGTAAGTGTTTTGGTCCTCCTACGCATTCTTGATATCCATGGTTGATTTGATCAGCATTCGTTGGTATATTGAGTACGCGAACAGAGGTCAACACAATTCTGTGCGGAACATGCTACACCTACATCCCGCTAAGATGTCAAGAAAAATGGTTAGAACTGCAAATATCCGCTAATGTAAATATTCTTTCAAAATCTAAGACAGAAACGAATACTAACCACCGTCCCACCTATTTTCACAATTAATTATAAGAATGTAAGCGTTTACACATCGGGTAGTATAACAAGAATCGATCCCCAACTACTATGAAGATCAACATACCTATAATTTAAGACTGGAATCTAGCCAGATGTTGGTATTCCAGCCGTATTAAGGTTGGTCAAGCCTTATCTGGTGGAGCCGACCGACTTTTCCGCAAATAATTGCCTTTTACAAGGCTCACAAACCCACTGTGTGCATGTGATTACGTGGGGGGATCGATAAACCCGGGCCTTGGCACGAGAGAGTTGCACCAGAAGTGCAAGTATGGGCTACATGCATACTGGCAATACATAATTTTTCCTTTATGCAACCCTTGGCATACACATAGGTATACTCGCTCTGGGAGCAAATATACGTTGCATGCACACCGGTAACGCAAGTTTTCACTCACGCATTCTACAGCCTACGTATAGGTATATTAACTAAGCTGGAAACGGTCACCGCTCCCTTCGAACGTACTGTTTCTAGTGCATGCGATTAGTACAGAGGCTTTCGCCCTCGCACTTCTTAACATGCATATGAACATAAGCACTCTGAGGGGGGGTTGATGGTCTCCTCTACCTAATATTCGCCACCATATTTATTTATCTCCGACCTGTTGTTTTAGGCCGCTAGTTTTATTAGACTTAGCCAGGTAGTATTGAAAAACAAAACAAATTATGAACATTGACGCGCTTAATTCACATTTCAAATTAACTTAGTCAAAAAACCATTAGGGGAAATTCGAATAAGGTAACAAATACATTGAGTTAATGTTTGCAAAGAGGTGGCCTAGTTTACCACCAAGAAAAAAAAGATGAATACACGTTTACGAACAGAAATACTTGAAGAAGTCCGCGTATTCAACAAATAATTGATATCACAAAACTTAATGACAGTCAGTCAGCTACAACGTAGGACCAGGTACATATATGCATCGGTCCAGGTTGCCACACCTTATTAGCACAAGATGAACACCAGATTCACAGTAGTTACTTCAATGGTAGTATTAAATAAAAAAGGGATGCATATAAGGACGTGATACAGGGAGAAAGAACTAGTTCGTAGAAATGTATAAATTAATTCTAATCTCATGGTTTAAGAGAAGACAGGGGATGCACCTCCACTGAGATCGGTTTTGAGTCATGTCACCCAGAGTCTCCAACCGTGTAAGTACGTTCGGTTAGCAATATATTTCTTGTCACACATTTGAGAACATGATATGGATTAGTCATGAACTTTTCGTCGAAATGATATTTGTGAATAACAATATTGAACTAAAAAACGTGGTTATAACTCCCCACAAATTGTTTAATGCCGAACACAGTTATTTTATCTATAGGGAAACAAATGTTTAGATTAATATTGCTTGTTTCATATTTGAGGATCTGGAGTATTTTAATTAATAATCTTAGTGTTGAACCAGCAAACATCAGTGAAGTTATCTTTTCCTTATCGTAAAATTAGTCAAAATTTATAACAATGTAAAATCATGGAATACAGGTATATTTTATGCGGTTATCAAAAGTATTGATATTTAACTACCTTTTATTTAAAGGTTCGCTTTAAATAAGACTGGAACAATTATCAGGTTGCCATGAAGGTAATATACTATTTTTTCAAGGACAAACGAATTGTTAGGAATAATTTATCTGTAAACAAGTAAAACAATTTCCAAGTTGATAAATGTAAGCACTTTATAGATAATAAATCATTTTTTGAAAACTTAAACAAATTTTTTTAAATAATTAAAAACAAGCAAATGAAAAGTAAGGAGAGAAAGAAAGAATATGAAGTTCAATTGGAAATATCAAAATAAAAATAAGCTAATTCAATAAACCAGATAATATATACAAATAAGGTTAGTACCATTATCACTAGGTGATTAATGAGGTCTGAAAGAACCTACACAAGATTCTGATTGGTTTCTTGCACGTGGTATATAATGTTGCACATTATGAATCAGAGGTGAATCATTTACAAGTTGTAACAAGTGTTCGGTGATTAAATCGACACCAACATGATTGTCTGGTGCACGTGGTAGGATGACATCAGCATATTTTTTAGTCTAAATAGTAATTTAAACAGTAAGAGAAAATGAAGATAAGTGTCACATAATAAACATTGATTCATTAACAATGAAAGCATGTGATTTAACAGCCAGATAAAGGTTAATACTCTCGATCAATAGCTACGCTGACAGATTTTCAGTTAAAGCACTAGACAGTAAGTTCAAACCCCACCAAGGAATCATTTGATTTGATGTCAGTGCCCACGCAGTATTGTGACCTACATCCGAACCACATTCAGTATAATAAAGGATACATATTCACAATTCAACTTTGCTCGCACGAGGTAGTAAAACCCACTGAAAACACTAAATAAAACGAACAGCGGAGAAAATAAATGCCTTATGTCAGTTTGACAGGACTGCAGTACACGTAGTATCTTCCCGAAAAATAAGTAAAAAAACATTTGGAATTACTAATCCAGTCTTGAATGTAGGCATTGCAAACTAGCAGGGGTGAAGTATAGGTGGATGACACAAGTAGTTAGAAAATTACATCAGCATTTATTTGAAATTAGTTTAGCACTGTTTTGAAGCACGAATTTATCAGTGCTTATATCGTTGGGTCATCATGAGTAACATAAATACACAGTTGTCATTTTACGAGTGTTGTAAAACTTAAATCTTCCGTACAGAAATTTAAGTGGTAACATATGACTGATCACGATTACACTGTTTAGAGGAATAAGGCAAGAATATCATTAGTAGAATAAAGCATCACCTAAAAAATGGTGCAGCAATAATGTTAGGCTGTTTGCAGTAGTCGTGAAGAAACTCAGGATCTAGCATGATCGACAGAACGTGATCAGTACTAGAAGACTCAGTAAAATCAGAAACTACAGTAATAAAAACGTACAGTGCAGCAATGGCAATAGTATTTATTATTATTCTTACTATTACTATGAAAACTTGACTTTGAAAATATACTCACGGGAAGACAAAACTCCTCGAACGCCGGTTTAACGTATTTAAAATAACTATCGAGTACGGAATCCAAGCAACGACCTTTCATAGAAACATCTCTTAGGACTACAAAAAATTTACATTTTGTTCTTTTCTTAAAAATACCTTTTCTGCAAAGTCTAGTGTCTGCATCTGATTCAATGAAGATTTTTAAGTCAAACATGTCTCTGACTTCTTTTTGATAAAACGTTAATATTCCTTCTACGATGACAACATCTACATCATCTGGGACCTCCTGAACATCCGGGGTACTAAAGACTAGAAGTTAAAAAGTTAATTCTGTACCTCGAATAGGCAGAGCAGTCATATTTGTGAAGGACCACATGTTCTCCTTGTTTTATTTTCCTTAAAACGTCAGCCAAATATTTGAAGTCGAACGAATCTAAAAATATGTAATAGAAGCTCAAGTAAGACTAAATCAAGAAAATCGTGCGAATATAAAGCATCTAGAAATTCTATAATATTGTCAACTACCTCCATGATTATACACACATTTATATTTATATTTAAATGGAGCCACTAGATTTAATATTTAGCAGTGGGCACCCAAGCAGATATCCTCTGGGAAAAACATCTCAGCAAGTTATATTACACACAATCGACTTCACTTATAAACCTGGCAAAAAGCTTTCAATGTAACTACAAACTTCCAAGCAATCGCTTATGAATAATAAACAAGATATTGTTGAAAGGCGTTGAAACCATTATTACTAGAGATTTTTTACAATAAGACGGATCGAAAACAAGAAATAAAAAACGTCCAAAACCTCCTGAGCTAACATTGATGTAGATTATAACAGAATCCTGGAGATCCAAAGAATAATGATCTAAACATATAACTCAGACAACTGTGAAACATTAGGGCATCGATCCTAACGAATTTTCGATATCGAAATAATGCAATGAAACCCAGTATGAGCTGGACTTCACTTTCCAAAGTGAGTTTTATGAATAAGTTACTCTAAAAGCTCAAAGACAAACTCATAACTAACAACATCTAATTTCTGAACTAATAACTACGTGTTACGTCTCCGTGGCACAACCGGTTAGCGCGTTCGGCTGTTAACCTAAAGGTAGTAAGACTTATAAATGTGGACAACCAAACTACTTGTTCCCCGTTGGGGAAAGAATGCAGTGCGATGAATGTAAAAAGTGGTACGAGATGTGTACACGTCTAAGTCCTACGGCACACAAAAGATGCGTGAAGCCTAACTCGCATTGGCTTTGTATGTTTTGCTGTACAAATAAGAAGTTACTAATTCAGGAGGCTATGAGCCTATTGGCTTTGGCCTGTAAGAAAAACGATGGCGATTGCGCTGATAACACAAGCACTGACCATGAAGAACGTGTCAGTGTAGTACGTGTAGCTACTGGACCCGCTAAACACCCGACTGTGATTGACAGGAAAGTGAAATCCTCGTTAATAATAACGAGGAGTAAAGTGCCGCTTGATATTGACATCGGTAATCATACACCTCTAGTGGAAATTGAAGACCCGGATAAGACTGTCACCGTTCTAAATAGTCCCGGTGTGGCTGTCCTGAGTGGTGATAAATGGACTTCAGTACGGAGAAAAAGAAATAAGAAGAAAAAGGCTGTAGGCAGTACGCAGCTGGTTAGCAAGTCATTGGAAGAGACGGTATCAGTAACAAAAACTCCACTGCTTATTAAGACAGGCCTCTCTGAGAGGTCAGTCATTTTCCATAAGTTAAAAGAATCTTCCGATTTTTCAAATTGTAAAGGTTCTGAACCAAACGATCCCCAAACCACTCTGGGTGGTAAGGGAAAGTTCTCCACAGACTTAAAAGTATGCTACACAAATGCTCGCAGCCTACTAAATAAAATGGCGGAGCTCAAGTCAATGGTAGATAAAGAAACACCGGATGTTATTGCTGTCTCAGAAACTTGGTTAACGTCGGAAGTATTAGAAAATGAAATTCAGTTGACTGGTTTTTTAAGCAATAGGGCTGATACATTAAACCGTAGGGAAGGCGGGGTTATCCTGTACACGGAAAGTACCTTAACCATAAGAGTAGTTGAGACAGTGGCACATGTTTCAGGGACATGTGAACTGGTGCGATATAAGCTGAAATGTAGACGGCAGGATATTGAATTATTTGTAATATATCGCAGTCTAGAATGTGTAGCTGATGATTTTCTCCTAAGTAAACTTAAGTCCTGGTGTAACAAGGGTAAAAGCCTTGTAGTAGGCGACTTTAATGCACCACATATAAACTGGGCTAACTTAGAAGTAGGGTCATCCATATCGTCGTTCGACTGCAAACTGTTAGAAACCTCGATTGGATTAGCATTATTCCAACACATAAGAGATCCCACAAGAGACGACCTAAGAAACTCTCCCTCTTTTAGATTTAGTCTTCACACACGGTGATGACGTTGGTCAGATGAATTTCCTCCCACCACTAGGGAGAAGTGACCATACAGTCGTACTATTCAAATTCATGGATGAGATTGTCTGTCAAACAGTTGCGCCGGCCCGTCCTAATATATGAAAGGCAGATATGGAGGAAATCAACTCCGCAGCATCGGCTGAAGACTGGGAAATTGACTCAAGGGCATCAGTACAAAAGGCATGGACCCTTTTCAGGCAGTTATACAATCGGGTAACAACCATACATACCCTGGACAGTTCCAAAGAAGAAGCATGGCCATCCCTGGATAGGCCGGGATATTCGACGTTTACTAAGACAAAATAAATGTTTCTTAACAGCCGAACGCGGAGACGTAACACCTAGTTAATAGTTCAGAAATTAGATGTTGTTAGTTATGAGTTATTACTACACAAATTTGAATCACATATAAAGACAAACCAACAATGAAGGACTCACTTGGGTGGTCGAAGTCAAACTCACTATTCAGGGCTAATTTGAGTTCCTCATCGGAAAGTTCACGATAAAACGATGACAAGGAAAGAACTTCAACCTTCTTTCCTTTCGCCTTCCTGTATAAGACATCCTTTATCTTCTTGCATGCCTCTGCCTACAAGCATTGCTTGTTGAACTTAAAATTACTTTTCCTGAAGCGGCTCCTCCACTAATACCAATCAGAAAAGGTTTGGAAGCTGTTTGTGTCATTCTGAGAATACCCAAGGTCATTAACTAAGTTGCGTGGACTAAGTTTCAATCCTTCAAGGTGGGACGTTATCCTTGATGAGCAACGGCAGATCGTTGGTCAAATGGTTGTGGACGGAACACAAGAAGCTTACAATATAGTGAAAAACCCCGTTATGAACAACTCTGAGGTGATTGCACTAGGTTTTCTAAGTATTACAGTTTTCAGTTTGGGAAATACAGGAGGCTCGATGGCCTATGTTAGTCCTGGCAATTGGTCTCTCAGTTGATCCAACTTTCTTTTGAGGGAATCGACGGATGAAGCCTCAACCACGTGCTGAGGTAATGAGTTCCACTCGTTGATGATTCGATGGGAAAGTCGATAGTCAGCTGACAAGTAATTTGTTCTCGGCTTGTGAACTTTTTTGGAGTGTCCTCGTAAATTCTCTGTTTTGGAAGACAAGAAAAATGAGGACATATCAGGCGCAAATTTGGCACTAAGCAATTTGAAAACTGTAATCAAGTCGCCTCTAGTTCTGCGATATGACAACGGGAAAAGGTTCAGCTTAGCCAGTCGAGCTTTATACGGAAGCTTCGCTATTCCGGTAATCAGCTTAGTCGTCGTTCTCTGAAACTTTTCCAGAAGCTCACTGTCTTTTTTAAGCAGGGGCTGGCCGCTTTTATGCAGTACTCAAGTTTAGGACGTACGAACACTGTATACAAAGTCAAAAACGTCTTAGCGTCGACATGATTAAAAGCCCTACGTATTGACCACAAAGTTCTAAAACCTTTGGCGGCTATTGCACGGCAGTGTGCAGTAGTCTTTAAGTCTTGACTAACGATGACTCCTAAGTCATTATATGTCTGGACGACAGGTATCTCAGTGTTATTCATCGTGTATGTATCTGTGCCTTGATGACCGATATGCATCACAACACACTTAGAAGTATTTATCGGCAACTGCCAGGTTTGAGACCATTCAGATAACTTCTTCAGGTCATTTTGAAGTTCTAAGCTATCACTCTTACATCGTATCGTTCTCCATATCTTGACATCTTCAGCATATAGCAAGACCGATGATGATAGGAGACGAGGAATGTCATTTACATACAAGAGGAATAGCACTGGCCCCAAAACTGTACCCTGGGGCACTCCACTAAGCACGGTTTCCCAGCTAGACAACTTTGGGTTCACACTTACTCTTTGTTGACGCCCAACTAAGAAGTCTTTTATCCAATTAAATAGATTGCCTTCAATCCCGACTTTTCTTAACTTATATAACAGCCGGTTGTGCGGAACTTTGTCAAAAGCTTTACTGAAATCAATGAAGGCTACGTCCACAGGTAGCTTTTGGTCCTTAAGAGCGCACTAGCATAGATGTGTTTGTCTTGACCAATAATAATGTAGGGGTAAATAAATCCCCAAAATAAACAGCTCTGTAAGTTTTCGATATTGCATGCTGACCACATTAGTTTTAATGGACTCACCTAGCTGAAGGCGTTCGGTCATGCATCCACACCAGATCACGATAGGTAATGCCGTGCTAAACAACCCCTGCAACCGCTAGCCAGATTAGATCAAACGATCCTCGATATGTTGATAGCCTATCAAATATATATTCCAACCTCGTCGCTTCTGTCTTTTGATTTCACTTGGTGGGCACGCTTCATACAGAAGGTGTTACTGGTTAAGGTGTTGTCAAACTCCGAATACCTGTGGCATCTTCAATAATATTACTATTTATTCTCAGATAACAGCCCTAAATTAGGCATGCCAGGTTTCAGGAAAGATTAAATTATTGCAGAGGATACAGTCTTTACTGTAGTTGGTTGCTCAGTTGGATTGATGTTTTGTAAGGTACATTTGTTACAAAATGTTGGTGAATAACATTTCTTACATATGAATGTAAATAATACTAGTTAGATTGGTATTGTCAATATGACAGTCAGTGTGCTTTATAGAAGTTGCGTTGCGACGTGCATCTGACGCGGTGTCTTAGTTTTCTGTGGCCACGAGCCCGAGATTACCCTCTGAGGCGACAACTCGAAGCACATTTCCATGGATATTGTATGTACTTTTTATCAACTAATACACAACATCATTCGAAACCATATTCACTACTGGGTATTCGTCTTTTCAAATAGTGCGAGGCTTATCGAAGAAAACATCAAGCTGCAAGTTTGAGAAACATTTTAAAGTTTTGGCTTTTGTCTAGTGAGATTCAGGTGCATGGTAGCGAATTACATCTATTCGAAAGTCAAATTTTACTGATGAAAGACGAATTCTATCTACTACAGAACAACATGTTTTCTAGAAAGCACAGTGCGTAGTTCCCTACAAGCGAGTAAAGAATTCGTTCATGAGTCAAGTTTAAGAAACATCTTTTCAACAGTCATCCCTGTTCCAGATGATCCATAGGAATCCAGCTGCGGTTGTATACTGATCCGTAAACGTGAATGATCTTACGCAACATCGTCCATGCATTCAAAACTCACAACTACCTTGAGATGTTTAATTGTTACATTTAAAATTCACGTTATGACCGGCAAGGTACCCTTAAAGCATACACGCAACTTCCTTTGGACTTTTTGGACTTTTAAAAGTAATTTCTGGAATGAAGACTACGAGCCAAACACCTTCATGTGCTATGAATAATGTGTTTCTAGGCTTTGATTCAAAGTCAAGATAGAGTGAACAATTTACAGCCCTCGAATCTTGTTTTTGAAAGCCTTCAAAACTCCATCACTTCGGAAATCCTGAAACGTGGTAATGAAGCCAGCCCATTAAACTTTCTGAAGAACAATCAAGATAGTCGAGGCATCGTCTCACCAAAATGTTGGTGGCTTTTCTAGAGCTTGGAACTAACCAAAATGAAGCTTCTACGCACATCAAACTGTCAAGTTATTGTAAACAAAAGAGGGAGAGTAAACTATTCATACTCTCGGCAGTACCAGGACATTTGGGGGCAAATACTGCCAAATGTACACCTTATTCGAATTCTATACGAAATATACTTCATTCACTATGATTTAACTCGAAATCATGACGCTAAGGGTATTTTGAATAATGTGAACACTTAGGTTGTTCCAGTTACTTGGAATATTACAGATTTCATTCACATGATAACATCATTCTGTTGACATTTAAGAGAGTTCGCAGTGAAAAATTGTAAAAACGATGAGGACTCATTATTGACATTATTTGCACATAATATGAGATAAATATATAATAACTTATAGAATAAAAATTAGTTGTTTTGGAGTAATTAAAACTGATTAAAAAGTTACGTAAAATCCACCGTTAGAGTCTTAATGTTATCACATTTTCAGTTACATATACTTAGTTCGAACGTCTTCATGTTCATCATTTGGTGCTGGTCGTATAAATTTCAGAATCAGTTTTAACATCACTCTATTTGAAAAACAAAGTATACTTTCCAGCTTAAAACCTGTTACATTTCCTATCATTGTAAAGTGCTTATTGTGTTCCAATAATATTAAGCTAATGTTGTAAACGTCTGATGAAATGTTAACCGAAAGAATTATGTAAGAGCTCTTAGATTAATATCAAAATGTACTGTCAGATTGTCTAGGAAAATAATGAATGACATTGAAGACGAATAACTAATAGATGAAAAGACTTGATTTCTATTTAATTCCATTTCGAACATAATCATATATGAAGATATACTAAGAAAAATCACAGCTTTGTGGATTGTGTGGCTATTGTCCAATGCCACTACAATAGTTACTGGTTGATAACAGACTATTTAATAAAATGTTTAGCATAGGAAATAGAGCTTTACAGTCCTAATTGATCATATTACCATATGCAAGATGATCAGATTAAAACAAAATACTTTATGAACAGTACTTCACCATAGAGAGCTGGGTATTTGTCCTGGTAATCTGAAGGTTAGTCAAGAACTAGACCTGTTTTTATGAATAACTTATAACCAATATTTTTTAGAAGTGGAATTATTTAGATAACGTAACAGTGTGCAAATTTTCTTAGTTAGTTAGTGCTCTTTATGCATTAAGACTTCAATTGTCTAACGTAGATTTATTCAATACTTGATACTTGTTTCTTATGTACAATAATTAATAGGGTAGATTAGACAAGTTCTTAGAAAAAAAGCAGGGAAAATCCACGTCTTAAAACTATCGACAACATAATGCCTTTCTATTGCTTTGTCAGTCTTCTACATTAATAATCATATAAGAAGGAACATTTGACGAGTCAGTACTAAGGAGTATATAGAGAGATATTTATGAATAATGATAGGTTTATGTGTTAGAAATGAAGATTTATAAAATTGATTAAACCAAGAAACTGATGTTCACTTCTAGTTTCCATTATTATTTAGATCTAATGATGAGAAATTTTCCTGAATACTGGTAATCTGTTAGAATAATCTCTTTTAATTCACTTAATGTTTGATCTGTTAAATGAACATTTGCTACTTAACCAGTAAGTTATATATTCAAATTCATTTCACTTTACTCAATACAAACATAACTTTCGCATAGATTATATGTAACTCAGTACATAGTAAACATATACATGATTATAGGTACTGGATAAGATCATTAAAAGTTTAGGAGTAGTAGGATATACAAGGATGTTAGATGCGATATATATATATATATAGAAAAGCTTCTTTAGAGAAAAAAATACATAAAAAAAAATATTGATTATCTTCTTCTAGACAGGATCATTTTTAAGGAGAGTCCATCATAGTGAAAGCATTAACAAACTAGATTATCAAGGAAAAACACAACACTTGAACTATTTAATTTCGTGAGCTGACATTTCTATGTATATGATGAGAAATTTATTGTCAAAAGCAGTACATAGGTTTTAAAACTGAACTCAAAGAGTTAATTCATCCCAAGGTTTTGTGATAAAATACGAATGTTTAGTAATCAAGTTGATCACAGCTACAATGAATGATATTACACTCTAATTCATATTGTTTGTATAATTCTATACGTCAGCGAGTAAACTATTAACACTGGTAAAGGCCGAATGTAATTCGACGGCCG